ATTTGCTTTCAGTGACCGTTGTCATCACGGTTCAAGGACGTCAGAAGTCCCGCATTCTGTATTATCAAAGAAATTTCTCAACTTAGAAACTGGATCGAACGGTTAAGAAGTAGCAAGTTGCTTCGGCTTCATGTGATCAGAGTAACGCAGTAAGTTCAATTTCTTAAGCAAGCTTTAGCTGCTTGCAGGCATTGGCAAACCCCTGTCTTATTCTTCAGACCCGAACTAAGAGATACGATGCAGATTGGGCTTGTTGCCTAACTCAGGGTTTTCGAACTCTAGTGTTTGTCAGTACAGATGAGTAGTAGTTACCATCCCAAAGCGAATTTTACTCGCTTCGTATATTCCCCATGCCATTTTTGAGCTTCTTTCTTGCTACCCAGTGACCATTATCCTCTGTAGCTGTATACACAGAGACAGTTCGGGTTGAACACAATTTAGCCTGTCATATGTATTGGCATGATGCTTTTCTTGTATTGAAGATGGTTAGTTAGTGCAAGATGCTGTGCCACAACTGCGTTGTATCTTTGGATGAATTACAGTTTTACGGGTTATGCTTTGTGCTGATTTGGTCACTTATTGATGCGCCGATTGTAGTGGCTTAACGCCCTCGTCAGATAAGCATGACCGAATATGTCCATGCTTTTGCGTGACCAGACGAGAACATGGTGCTGTCCGTGATATTTGTAGGTCAGCAAACTATTATTTATTTCGTTGCTAGACGCAGAAGCAAAATTAAATGAATCTTATATTCAAAGAAATCGCAATTGATTGAAAAAGTTATGTATCTATGAAAAGTAGAAGCTTCTCTGAGAAAATCTCGCTGTACATGTAAACTATTTTAGATGTATGTATGTTGCTTTACATTTAAAAACAGCGGTCTGATTTCGTAGCAGCTTCCTCAGAAGTCGTATCCATTGCTGCCATTAATTTTGCTCATAGCTTTGTTTACTGTAATGAAGCTATTATTTATTTGTCATTTAATTTATGGATGTATTTTTTGCTTTTACAACTAATAAATTCGCTGATGGCGCTGTTCATCCAGCGTACTTTCGAATTTCCATAATTACTCGAGAAAGAATGTTCAAGTTTGTAAGCGTTGAATTTTATTTTGCCATACTGTTTGACGTCAATCGATAAATTGAGGTGAGTTATGATGTGATTATGGACAGGCTGGAGCGTGCGAGTGATCATAGATGCGTGATGTTTGGAATTTAGAAAGAACAAGATCAGAGTATTTCCGAGCAAATGAATTAGTCTCACTAGCTGATAGCTAACCATACCTTTTGATCAACATGTGAATACGGTAGTAATAGGCTCAGCTGTTGCAAGCCGTCAAGCCGCGCAGATTGCGAGGAGAAGGCGTGTTGAAGTCAGAGTGTGCGCTAGTGCAGAGGTAGTTGAAGTTGGCGAAGCGAGTCGTGCTTTTTTTCATGCATCGTTCATGAAATGGTTGCGCGACGTTCTGATGGTGTGCTGACTGCATCGTTTGACTGCTTCTGCTTCTGGTGGTTAATCACTCTCTTTGATATTTGTTTGGTGACATTTTTTGTGCATGTTCAAAGCGGTAGCTGTTTTTTAGGGTACGTCGGAGAAGACCGTCGGACACCTTACAGTAAAATTTTCTTCTCGAAAAGGTGGTGCGAATTCTCCGGTTTCGTGAGCGTAGCCTGGATTGTCGTTGGGAGCGATGGCTGCAGCCACGGCATCGTCGGACGACAGCGACGTCCGCAACATGGCTCTGATGTTCTTCCTCGATCATCTGATGCAGAAGAACGGTCATCGGTCGATCCATGACTTGAGCTGCCAATTCGGCGCTCGTGGCTTCACGCCGGCCATGCGTGCAGCCGTGGGTGGCAC